TTAGGATTATTTCACAAAATCTCTAATATTTTGGCTTCTCCAAGGAAATGTTCCTACTGATGGGCTGTGAGCATGCATTTAATACATGTAAACAATGCATTAAAGGCTAAGAAGTCCAAGAGGGCCCATGAATGTTTACTTGAGCAATCACCCTTCTTCACAAATAAGTGAGATAGTTATATACTTTTTCTAAGCTTCAGATGGTATTAACTCCAGCACATTGTAATGCTCTCCCCACAGCAGTTCTGTTGGGAGAACATTACAATACAAAGAAGTCCCATATGAGCTGAGATTGTGCCCCTATGGACAAGGAGCCATTGAAACCACAGTTCATGTTCTGTTGTATTATATGTTCTATACGAATTCACAGACTCATTTTATAACTCCCGACCTGACAAAATATTCCGGAAATTCTGATCTCTTTTATGTACAGTTGTTACTGTCAGATTAGTATGATGCAGTTTCTTTGAACATAGTTAAATTCTGCTATACTATCTATAAAATTAGGCAGACATTGGCTGCCCATTGATGATCTCATCACTAACCATAATATACTGTTATGTCTTGTCCTCCTGTTCTATTTTATTTTAATGTTTTAATTTTTCATTCTAGTTTGTAACCATAAACTAAGATTATAAAAGCTTGATTGATTCACATGACAAGGTTGCACAATAGGAGCCTTGGAAATGTTAAACCAACTCTCTGATTTTTCCTTCCATGTGAACAGTATATCTATATCTTATGTATGTCTTATGTTCTTTATTCTAGAGCATACATGAAACATTACAGTACATTGTCAAGCAGTTTATTTTTTCTACAAGCAGTAAACAAAATGCAGACTAGCCAAAGGGCAGAAACGATGTCTGTGAACACAAAGGAGGATAGAAAATGCAAGAGGCTGATTGATATGTTAGACACCAAGGATACAATACTATAACAACACAAGAAGCCAGAGGGTAGTTCTGAAGAACGTAATCAAAACCCAGATTCAGAAGGGAATAATGCATAATTGGTATGCTATCTAGTTTGCCTCTGAAAGTTTAAAAAAAAAACACCATTGGCAGAACTGGTAAAGACTCCATGTTTAAAATTCCCAATTCTGCAGTTTATTCAATGCCTCACAAATGGCAAAAGTCTGGTCATGAACCTATGCCACAGACTTCCAAATCTTTAAAATTGTTTTTGGAATTTTAACATTTTCCTCTTGCTGTGCTGTTATAGATATTTCAGAAATATTTTCATTTTTCCTGGAGCTGGATGCTCCTTAGAGAATCACATGGCAGAAGGAAGTCAGAGACAATAACATGGAGCTTCAATTAAAAAAGAATCACCGAATACTAATGGGAAAGTAATTGAGCTAAATTGAAACATAATTGGAAAAATTATGTGACAAGCCTCAGTATAATACATTTTATTTTAATTTGAATCTAAGAGTTTATGCTAAAATCTTTAACTCTGCGAATGCAGTGTTCACCCAAAGGGATGTTTTCTTTTGGGGGTTGGAGGTTAAAACCAAATTCTTCAGATAAAAGGATATTTTTTTAAATTTCTTTGGACCCTTCTAAATAGGATGTGGAAGTGGAGAAGGGTGTGTGGCAGGGGTGGCATTCACTTACCTTCGTTATCGGTTTGCAAATGTGAGCATGTGCCTCCTCCACGCAGGCACAGAGCCTTCTGCGCATGTGCAGAGGGTAAAAAACAGGATGTGATGACATCCGGGCGGGTGGGCGGAGCCTCCCACTGCCGGCACTACTGGATCGCGCGATCCAGCTAGAACCGACTGAATTTCACCACTGGTGTGTGGGTAAAATAGCCAATGAAATGTGAATGCCGCTCTGAATTTGTGCAGGAATATGCAACTTCCATCAACATGAAGAACACTTCAGGTTTTGGGAATATTCCAAAAACAAGGCAGGGGTGAAATCCAAAATTTTTCCCTACCGGTTCTGTGGGCATGGCTTGGTGGGCATGGCAGGGGAAGAATATTGCAAAATCTCCATTCCCTCCCACTCTGGGGCCAGCCAGAGGTGGTATTTGCCGGTTCACCAAACTATTCAAAATTTCTGCTACCGGTTCTCTAGAACCTGTTAGAACCTGCTGGATTTCACCCTGGAACAGGGGCAACTCTTCTTTTCAGGGATACCGGTTTTTGGTGCCTTTGAGTGTTTGAGTGACTTCTGGTGACTACTTGTACACGTCCTTGCAGTTTTCTTAGCAAGACTTTGGTAGCAGTTTGCTGTTGCCTCTTTCCTAGGACTGGGAGAGGGGGACAGGCCCAAAGTTACGCAGCTGGCTTCATGCCAAAGGTGGGCTTAGAACTCACAGTCTCTAGTCTGTTGCTTCACCATTAGACCAAACTGGTGCTCTCACTCTCTCTCTTTTAAGGGATCGAGAATCCTTCAATGCTGAATTCATAGACTAGATCACCGTGATGTCAACTAGAAGCCTCCTTTCCAAATCCCAATGGTTCATCAACTCATCCTCTACAAGTGCCAACCTCATTAAGTTTTATTTATGCTCTGTCTTTCTGGGTTTTAGAATTACATTTTTTTTCCAGACCGAGGGTCAGTCAGTGCAATCTGGCCAACCTGATGCACTTGAGTAGGCCACTAATCCAGGCAGGTCTGCCACATTTTTCCTTTCAGTCTTGCTCTTATGCTACTTTAACTATTTTCAGCTTTTTAATGTATGATCTAAGATCCTTGAGAGCTCCCCTTATACATGTTTTATTCAGGATAGTTTTCAGATGAGTTCTTTGCACACTGAGATGGTCAGCGAGGATTAGATAATTGCCAGGTTTGATTGTGCCATCCATTCAATTCACTGTCCTCTTGCCTACATTAACCTTTCCTTCCCACTGTTTCCAGCTCCTGCTTGCATATGCCTTCATTTCCATTCCCTTTCTCCTATTTTATCTGGGGAGGTATCACCATTCAGTTGGGCTTTCTGACACCTTGCCATTTGAGCTCTTGTCATAACAAAAATGTTCTCTGTCTGTTTTTATCCTTTAGCAAAGTCAGTGGGTTTGGTCACAGAAGGAGCTGCTGTGGAATATGTTACAGACCCTTTGGTCTCTCCTTGTAATATGAGACAGAGAAACAGAAGAAGTCATACAAGAAGCTTGGAGTTTTGCACCAAAGAGCTCAATTTAATTGGCTTGCCAGTAAAACACACACAAACACATAGAGACACACACAGAACACAGAACACACACACACACACACACACATTTAGAAAAGGGGCTCAATGTTTTCTGTAGCCATCCTGCCCCAAATGTACAAATGTTCACTTTTGTGAACAAAGCCCACTTAGAACATTATGTTTTATCTTGGCTGTGCACCGCCCTGAATCCCGCAGGAGAAGGGCGGTATAGAAATATAATAAAATAAATAAATAAATAAATAAATTATGAAGAATAAATACAGAAGATTCATTTACATGATGCCCTTCTTCGTTGTTGTACTTCTGTCTATTGAACTCCCAATTAGGATGTGAATTTTAGCACTCAAGACCTGGAATAAAAATTCAGTAGACCAAGGATGACTTCTATGAAAGCATTTGTTTCTGAGTTGTATATTACTCAAATTTAAGCTGCTGGCAAGCTTTGACACTTAATGGTATGACATTTATTTCTGGTTGGCAGGGTAGTTTCTAGTTAGATTGTCTGCTTGGTACATAAAAGATACTTGCTGTGGACTCTCAACATATACAAGGCATTTCATGGATAATAACTATAAGCTTTTGATCTTTTAGCAGCTGTAACAATTCTGCTGGTGCTTAGCTTAGGTCTCAGTCTTTTCCAGCTTCTTGTATTCCTTCATGCCTTTGTTGTTGTTTATACTCCATGATTACCACACCTTTATGAAAAACTTTAAAGGTATCAAATTATTACAACATAAAATCATAACCCATTCAAAGCCAGTTAAAACCTAAGCCAAACAGAAAGATCAACCTCATATTTTACACTCTTGTAGCATACTAAAAATGTGTGAACGTGTTTCCAAGCAACTAGCACCCTTAAAGCTCTGATCTTATCTTATTTTCAAAACCTTCAAATTCTTAAGATCATAAAACTGCCATTTTTTTTCCTGGGTGGGATTGGAAAGTGGAGGGAAGTGGCTAATAAGCTATCTTGCTCTTGAGATAGGAAAAGGATTAGTTTCAGGTTTGAGAAACCTTGACCCTCCGTTCTGAATCCATGGAGTGGCAAGCTGTAGCCATTTCATTTGGTGCTTTTCTCCTTTTTTTGTGCTTTCTTCTTTTATGCCAGCTTTTCCAATCTGGCCCCATCCAGATGTTTTGGGATTTCAGCTCCCATGTCAGCATTCAGCCAATATGAATCAAGTTGCAAGGTAATTATAAGAACTAAAGTCCAACTGGAAAGCCAATTGGAAAGCACAAGGTTGGACAAGTCTGCTTTAGTAATAAATGTGTAATGTAAGAGGTCTCTCTCTCTCTCTCTCTCTCTCTCTCTCTCTCTCTCTCTCTCTCTCTCTCTCTCCCTCTCCCTCCCTTTCTCTCTCTCTCCCTCTCCCTCCCTCTCCCTCCCTTTCTCTCTCTCTCTCTCTCTCTCTTTCTTACTTTATTTTTATGCCTAACTGTTGACATCTTTCTCTGCTTCCTGTTCCTTCCACCCTCTCTGTCCCCCCATAAATTTTCCAATCTAGGTTAGTTAGGCGAGCACTCAGCCTGTGCTTATCAAAATGAATCAAATAAAGTGGCTGCAGCACTTTTATTACTTACAAATGCCTTTGGGCTCCAGTGTATATGTAGGAAGCCTGCCTGTAAGCTTAGGTTGTTCTCTTTTAGAAATGGGGCTAAATAATACTAAGGTGAACAAAGATTAAGATTGAAATCACAATGGGCCATTTTCATCACAGGGAGCTGCTCACTTAACTGAATAGCCATCTGGTTTTGGGCTCCAGTGAGGAAAGATTTCCAGCAGGGCACAAAAATGGGGAGCTTTATGGCAGATGTTTTCTTGTTTTTTTACCAGCTTTCCCAATGTGGCACCCTCCAGATGTTTTGAGATTACAGCTCCCATGTCAATTTAGCCAATATGAATCAAGTTGCAAGGTAATTATAAGAACTGAAGTCCAATGCATCTGGAGGGCATAAGGTTTGAGAAGTCTGCTTTAGGGAATAAATATGTAGTGTAATAGGTATGTCTTCATCTCTCTGTCTCTCTATCTCTCCATCTCTCTATCATCTGTCTATCATTCATCTATCATCCATCATCTCTCTCTCTCATCTATTTATCTCTCTCATCTATCTATCTATCTATCTATCTATCTATTTATCATCTATCTATTTCTATGCTACCCTAATCATGATTCAGGATGGCTTATTACCATTCAAACACATAATAGCAATAGCAATAGCTCTTATATACCACTTCATAGTGCTTTACAGCCCTCTCTCAGCAGTTCACAGAGTCAGCATATTGCCCCCAAGAATCTGGGTCCTCATTTTACTGACCTCGGAAGGATGGAAGGCTGAGTCAACCTTAAGCCTGGTGAGATTTGATCTGCCAAACTGCTGGCAGCCGGTGATCAGCAGAAGTAGCCTGCAGTACTGGACTTTAATCGCTGTGCCACTGCGACTCATAAAAATGTAAAATGCCTAATTGCAATAAAATAAAAGCAATTGTATATCTTGCTGATAAAAAATGCTAAGAGCAACCCCCCAAAGATCAAGATCAAAAATCCAGGGAGGACAGAATCTCTCTGTTCCTAAAAAGGGTGGGTTGGGTGCAGTCTATTCTGCAGAACTGGAGCAGCAAAAGAAAAGGCACATTTTCTGATCCCCACCAGGAAAATAAGATAGACAGATTCATTTTGGAGCAGACAAACCTTTGGGTAAAGAGTGGATTCATGAAGGACTTTATACATGATAATCAGTCTTTTGAAGTGTGCCTGGAGACCTATGGAAAACCAGTGCAGCAACTGGAAGAGGGGTATTGTTCTCCTGAATTGTTTTTTATCCTACTGTTTCATCCTATACCAACCAAAGGTTTGGAATAGTCTTCTAAGAACTATTCTAAGAACATTTTGCAAGTGTCCAAGTGTGAGGTGATAGGAAACTGACTGACTATAAGCAGAGCATCTAGTTCCAGAAATGATATGTATACCAGTAGGTGCACCAATTAAAGATGAGCTGGTCATGGCTTCCACCTGCTATAACAGCTGGAGCTATGGGTCTAAGAGAACCCATAGAGCATGGATTTGCTTCTTTATAACAGCAATGCCTTAGAGGGATTAAAATCTGTTTAGATCAATCTAGCTTTCAGGATCAATTAGATCTCCTGTTCAGCCCAAAATTGAGATGTACAATTGAATATATATGATTATTTTTTTTTACTTTGGACTGATGGATGACTATTCCCAGCAGATTCACAGAACTGTTAACGTAGCCCTGAGGCATTGGAGTGTTCATCATTCTGATTTCTCTTCTCTATTGAATGACCATCCAGTTAGGACAGGGCAGAACCATTGTAAAACAATCCTTCTAATTTCTAGGCCTTGCAGGGAGTGCAGGGGATAACGTGATCAATGATATCAAAAGTCACGGAGACGGCCAAAAAGTCATTACAAGTTTCTATCCCTTTATTGAAAACACACTGCAGTCTGCCTCTGCCAAGGGAAGAACCCAGACTTACAAAGATTCAGATAATCCACTTCTTCTTGAGTCTTCTACTACTGAACTCCAACTGCTTCCTCCAGAACCTTGCCTCAAACGGGACAGATGGAAATGAGGTGGAAATAGTCTAAATTTGCCAGGTTTAAGGCATGAGGTACCACCTTCTTTTAGAGGCATTTGGAACCTCTCTAATCCAGTCTTCTCCCCGGTGGGTCTGAATAAGTCAGGAAGGGCAGGACTCCATCTTATAAGTGGCAACGCTCGTGCAGCCAATGACCTTGTCCACTTCCTTAATGTCCACAAAATCAAACAAATCTAAGATAATCAGGCAGGATGTCACTCCAGTCATTGCATCAGACTCTGCATAAGAAGTGTCAAGCTCTGGGTGAATATGAATGATTTTATCTTTAAAATGCTTCACAAAAAGGTCATAGCACCCTGCAGGGAAGTCTTCCTGCCTGCCAATCCCTTCTCTTCCTTCTGAACAGAGTAGCTGGATGGCATTTCAAAGAAGCAATGAGGGCAGAAAAGTACTGATGTTTCACTGCTTTATTGCCATAGTGAAGGCTCAGACTTAAGCTCCTACCAGTGAGCACTCAAATTCACTCCTTATTTTTCATAACTGTCACTCTAGGTATTTCCTCTCTAATTTTCTCTCCTGGGAGATAAAAGTTCCTTAGAAAACCAAAAAGCAGCCCTGGATTAAAAGGGAGGGCCATTCTTGTTGATTCAGAATTCAAATAGTCAGTGTGAAACACTGTGGAGTTGTCCATGTGATTGTTGTATAACTCCCCAAGTGTCATCCCTTCAAACTAAACACCTCAGGAAACAAACACCACAAGGATTACATATGTGCTGCTTTAATTTTATAGATTATAATACCAGAATCTTGTGGACCTGAGTTTTTCTCTTTGCTCTCTGTGATATCAAACAGAATCAAGGCAGGATTATTTTGAGCATTTTTTCTCTCATGCTTTCCCCTTTCGCTGAATGATGTTTCTCCTCCCTTAATGGCTCCTGCATTCCTTCTGGTTATCTCTGCATTCCTCCATACACATACCCACTGGAAACCAATAAGATTCATTGGGACAAGCCAACTTAACTAGTTTCGCTATCAAAAACCTCAGAGTGACCATAGAATGATCCAACAAGGACCAAGAATGATGGAAATGTTCTCCTTCTCATCATCTTCTCATCATGAACCAATTACTCTGATGTAAAGATCAATGTCTGGTCACTTGTATGAGTTAGACTAGATATCCCATGAAGGCTATGACCTGAACTTTAGCTGACCCTGTCCTCAGAATATGAAGCTTGAATCACCCAGCATCAATACCTGAAGGAGAATCAAACCCCAGCCTAGAGATAAAAGTGGAAAGGATACAACAGGACAGCTAATATACAGGTAGTAATCTAACTGAGTCAAATCTGGTTGGAGAAGGTGATCTAGCAAGTACATAGATATCAAGCCACATAAGGCTTTATAAATAAAAATATTGCTGGTATTATGTCATTGTGTTAACTCAACTCCTAATGGCTACCTAGGCACTTCAAGAAGGCAACAGTACAGGAGTTTCCTGATGTCTTTTTCTGGGAATTCATTGATTGTCGTCCATCCAAATACTAACCAGACATGACCCTCTTTAGCTTCCAAGCCTAGACAAGGCCAACTGAGTACTGCCACTGACTGAAATTACAGCTGTATTTTTTTTTAATACAATACAGATAGAATTGGATTATGGTAATTCTTTGTCTGCATCTCTTTTTCTTTTCTTAGGTTGATATGACATGTTTTATTCACACGTACAAAGGGTGCCTATTTGGAGAGCACTTGCAATGTGTACTAAAAAATACTCAAAAAAGATAAAGCTGAAAATTTGGATTATAATGGTCCAACAAAACTCACTTGTAGAAAAAGGCAGACCTTAGTGGTTTTTCAAATATGAAATCTTGCTATTGATACTGATTCACAATTACAGAAACAAACAACTTCAGTTAATCAATATGCCCACGTAAGTCTTTGTAGCTTGAGCTTTTTATAGGAAGAGAGGCAGCCAATATCTTTTGTAGGATTGAAAAGAACTTCTGTGAGGCTATTTCTCTTTGTGACACATACTACACAGTTGTAACACTAATCAAGGAATGGCTGGCTGCCAGCATATAAATATGATCTGTATGCTTAATCTTTCCACAAGGTAAGAATGTTGGTCTCCTAATGAAACCCTCATCCCAGACTATGTATTTAGGCAGTCTCTATGTCTGCTTTTATGAAGCCTGCATTCAGTCACGGGTACAAAATCTCTATGTTGAAGGAAAGGTAGTCATCCATTATAGTAACTTAGGGAATTGGCATGGCTCCAGAATCATGGTAGGACTCATCTATTTCCCCCACTTCACTCCCATATTATACCTAGTGCTAATGTAGTAAGTGATTATTTTAATTGCAGGGGCATCTTTCAGAAGAGTCATATATATATATATACACATACATATAAATATATACATATACATATACATATATACACACACATACACACACTCCTCTCACCAATGACTGTGGCAGCAGTGAGCATTTTGCTAAGATTCCCCCCCAATGTGGACTTAACCTTTGCTGTCTTATCCTTTCACTCTATAGTGCAATTGTGATAGTCCCACTTCTGAAAATAACTCCCTAGTTCCCTGCATTTTCTCTACAAATTCCCGTGGACTTCACAATTTTCCAAGAGAAAAAACATTGCTCTTTCTGCTATGAGCTCTGAATCTAGCAATATATTAGAACTTTGGTGAGAGTCTTGATTCTCTCAGCTATGTGGACTCATGTATCCCTTTTTCGTTAATGTCTAGAACCCCCTCCAGGATTGCCTCACTGACATTTCCTAATAAATTGCTGAGCTTCTCAGTTCCCAGCAAGAGAAATTAGACATAGCAAGGCCTTTGCAAAGAAACTACAAGCATTAAAACCACACCACATCAAAACAAAACAAAACAAAACACTCCCATTCAGAGAAACCGAAAAATGGGTCCAACTTCCTTTGTGTATTATTATGATATCATTGCCTTGGCTCCTATGGCTGCCAAAAAGAACAGTGAAAAGTGAAAGGGGTTCCAACTGCCCAAATATTGCCCACTGATGCCCACAATTAATCTGCTGCCTCTCATCATTCTGGAAGTAAAATAAAGCACAACTAACCACTTGAACCATTATATCTTAGTTTTCATTTAATTAGGTAAAGAATGGGTTGGTTTGATTTATATGCCATTTTTCATTCAGGAACCCAAGATGGCAAACACAGTGTTCCATCTTCTGTCTTTTGCCCAAAACAACACTCCTGGACTGGACAAAAAGAAAAAGGGAGTGACTGGCCCCAAATCACTTTGTTCTCTCATGGCTGAGAGTGACCTGAAATCTGGAGCTTTCTAATCTCAGTCCAAGACCT